TGGGTGGCCGCACATCTAACCCCAATAGGCCATCCGAAATTACGAATGGTACAACCCAGAAAATCCCAACAGTCACTCGAGCTAGTGCATACAAGCGACAAATTCTCATCATAGCAGCTCTCAAAGGCAACAAGTATCTCCTTAGCCCGTTCCAAGGATCCATAGTCCCGACACGATACTTCACAAAAATCGTGACGTCATCAATAAGTATGACGCCATGTACCAAACGACGATCATGTCCCAAGGAAGCGAGGAAAGAGAACTCCGAAATTGGTACACCCCTGAACTGTTGAATGTTCCTGTGTGGAGGAAGGGAGGGGGCGCTGTTGGTGGTGTTGGGAAGGGGGGGGGAGAAGGTGTGAGTGGGCATGCGCAGCCGGGTAGGAGGGTTGTGGATTGGGCTGTCGAGCCAGCGGTTCTTGAATGGAAAGTTGGTGGTACTGATAGGGGTTGTGTCGCAGTGAGGGCGCTTGGGGTCGGGTAGCAGAGGGAAGTGGAGGAGGTCGTGGCTGCATAGGTGGTCGGTTAGGCTCCGGGGGGCGATAGGACGAGGAAGCAGTGGTTGGGTGGGAGTTGACGGGATGTGGCGCTGGTGGGGCTGCGTTGGGCCTCTGGGGCCGCTGACCGTCAGGAACTCTGCCACCTGATCCTCGACCACCTCCACTGCCTCTGCCTCTCCCCCGCCTACCCGGGGGCATAAGTTCGTTGAATCGTGGGCATGCCAGGTCAAACTCGTCATGAAACCACCATACACACTTACGACAGAATATCGTATCTTGATTAGCAAATTGAATCTGCATGATTTGTCCAGAGGGGCGACGTAAGCCTAGTACCCATTCCATGAACGTGTTCCAGATTGAAGGATCGCAGTCAATTCGTACATTGCCTAAACGGGGTTCATCATCCCTCCTATCCGGGGGCTGCATGTGAATGATGGGTCCCATCAGGCGCTGCACTGCAGCACGGAGTGAGAACATAGCACCAAGAGGTACTCTCAGTGCAATGATACGATATTTAGCAACTGCTTCATTGTCTCTGATTTGGTCTAGTTCCTGTTGCGTCATCCAGGCTTTGAACGTGACTTTGACCGGACCGGAACGAGTGGGGATGTAGTCATGCCCTTTGGTTATCAGCCATTGAGCAATTCTACTCGATCGGGCTACGTAAGACATGACGTTGGGGGCTTCCCCATGAGTCCTACCACGCTTTTGTGAGGGATTTATGTTGGCATCTTGATACCATGCATCCTCATAAATCCGGATGAACTGTTCACGTTGTGCGATCGAGAGTGTAGTCGCCCGCATATCAAAAATGCAAATAATTGTTCGGTCCTTTAACCAAGCAACCGTCACTCATCTACGATTTCGATATCGCCATGGGAAAACGACGATTCCGGGAAAAGTCCATCATCGTAGCAGCTGTCGAGCAGCGCTCTGACCCGCGGCATGTCCTCTAGGGTGACCGAGGGTAGAGTTGCTCCGGAGTGGGGATCGTACACCCGGGCCTGGTTGACCTGTGCCGCCGTCCAATCTGCCATGGTGGCGGGGCTGCGGAGTCGTATGGAACCTAGACTTGATGTGCGTCCAGGCAGGGGTAGTAAGTAGAGTGTGCAGTGGCGAATGGAGCGGTGTATGTGTACGGAAATAGGCCAGTCATGAAGTGGACGGGGCTAGATAGAGATACAACAGGATGTAGGTTGAGGTGGGTTCAGTGAAGGAGAGGATAGTTCCTCGTAGAGAAAGAGACCGAGACCGCTCAGCGGCCGTACTAACGGAGGTTAGAACTGAGTGGAGTTGGTACACATATCTTACCTGAACATGAGCTCATCTAACTTCTACTTCTGCTTATCCCTTGTGGTGGTTGAAAAATCCCAAGGATTCGGCAATCCCCTGCCCTAATTCGGGTCCGGAGTAGCTCTTCCCTTCATTGTACACATCGGGACAGGGCGAGGCCGCCATGTCCAATTCACATAGAACACATTCAAGTAGGTGATTGGTCAAGTCGATTCCGACCCGCTGACTCGCCTCCATGTCCCCCCACGTCGACGACTTGAGTTGGTCGAGCTATGGCTCCGCAGAATGGTTGATGATGCCACTTCACCCGGTATCGTACCAGGGTGGTGACCAGCAGGACCGGTTCTCCTGAACCGGTAGTGCAACAGCAGAGCGCTCCGCGCCAAGAACAACATCATGATCATTATGAATTGTCTGGGCCCCGTCAGTTGAACGACGATATCTAAAGGCTGTCGCCATAGGAGAGGGGGGGGGAGGGGGAGGAGGAAAAAGAAGCCCCTGGCTACCTTTGGTACCGTCCAGTCCCACGCCCTCGTTTTTTGTCCTCTTGGCGGAAACGCGCCATACGTAAGCTGGTGCATGGCGGTTCTTGGGTGTTGTGGCTTGTAAGGTAGATGGCGTTTTTTCAAGTGCTCTGACACTCTTGACAACTGTGACAGAGTGTGCTATATGCGTGTGGTTGTGTGATGCTGTTCAGTTTGCTTTTCTGCAAGAAAAATTTGTAACCCGCTGGGAAGTCGTACCTAGAGGAGCTGGCGGAAACTGTTGGTGGGGGAGAATGAAAGAGTGCAAGAGAGGGATACAACGACTCGAATAGTGGATTGGTGAAACCGTGAGGATGGAGAACGAAGGTTGCAACGAAAAGATCCGGTGGGGGTAGTGGGTCGGGTAGTGGCCCGCGACAATCCGTTGGCAGGAAAATCCTGCTCCAAGTGCGGCGAGGCTGACCATTTTGCCGGTATCTGTGCAGAATACTGGCAAGCAAAAGTGTACGGTTGTGACGTACCAGCTTCTCTACCCGAACAAACTTCCCAAGCCCTGAGTTTTGTTATCCTTGCTTTTTCGATCTCGAACGGGCTTTAGGGGTACCCTTCTTTTTGGTTGGTGGTATGCATGGAATCACTGGTCGACGAGGTCCTTCCACTTCTAAGACTTGTTGTTTTCCTTCCTGAAGACTTTTTGCGATTTCTCTCAGATGATCCATGAATTTACGTAGGACTTATGCGCGCCTGAGTGAGCACGCTATGAATTTTGTTCGACAGTTGGGAATTCCGGAATTTGTGGTTGCACTTCCCCTTGACGTGTCCTTTCTTGCAAGTGAATGTTCCTAAATTCGCCCTTCAAGGCTCTGTTAATTTTTAGTAGGATCTAAATAGGCGTAGGGTTTTTCCTGCGTCCAATCTCATGCGCGGATATCATTTTTAAATTTCTAAATCTTGAATTAGTTTTTTAAGAGCTAGCATGGACGAAACATAACTGTTTTGGTGCCTTTTTGTTTATGTGTTGGCGCCATGTATGCGAACTTCCCTCGCTTTCAACTATCCCAATGCCATATCCACCTCTCTCTTTTTCGCACCTTCTTTCCTCCATCTGTAACTGTTTTCCATCCCCTCTCCCTTTGTGCTTCTCTCCCGCTCCTTTTCTTCTGAATCATGGTCCCGCTCTGCATCACTCTTCGCACTCTCCTTCTTCCCGCCTTGATCCCCATACAGAAACTCCCGCTCGATTCCCTCCCTCAAGGTATTTGTGTCGTCAGGCGACATCGTGTAAGGAGGATACTCCCCTCACGCCGCGATCTAATTGGTTACAAAGAAACTCGGGATGATCGATATGACTTTTCCCGGGCGATTTACCCGAACGCTCTCTTCATCCTCTCCTACCTCCGCCCCATTACCTCTCATTTTTTATCTCCTTATTCGCAACTATAAAATCCGCAAGCGCATCCGAAAAACTCTCTCTCAACCCATCTGCCAACTTTCAGGAAGTCGTGGTTAGATGATGTGTATACACGATGAGTCGAAAAGTTCCGACGAGATGACTGTAGTTTTGCAAGGTTGTGCGCCGGGTGACACGACGGACTGTGGGATCTAGGCAAGTCGGAGTAGAAGATGAGTTGGCGGGGTGACGATCGCTGTGGTGTGGAGGTTGGTATGCCACGGTGGCGGTCGAGATCGCCAATACCGAGGTAAGGAAGTTGTATGCGTACGAGTGGTTGCATGGTCTAAGGCCATAGTCAGATAACAAAAGGTTTGAGCGTCTTCGATTCCTCCTCTTATATTGAAAGCTACATCCACGATGGATTGTCGATTTTGTTTCTCATATCTATTTGTTTGCTTATAACTCCTTTTTTTTTTTAAAGTTTTTTATTTCGATAAAGCTACGACTCCGTCCACCTTCTTCGACCTTACCTCCCTCTCCCTCTCTCTCTCTCTCTCTGATATTTTCTTCTTGAATGTCTGAATGTTATGATAACTCCCTCATCCCTACCAGTTCCTGAGGGCATATCCTTCTCGTCTCGTTGAATTCAATCGGATCTCACGAGGACGAGCATCGTTGAATTTAAAGAGACCAGCAAGATTAGGTGATCTTATCTCGTCTCTATCTTTGCTCCTCAATATCTGATGGTTAATGCATGTGTGATCTCTGACACATATGTATTGATTAAGTTGTTACCTTGATGACGAGAACGGATTAGGATGCTTATATGATTATTTTGATGCATGCTTAACTACTCGTAGGAAGGAAGGATGGTCATTATCTCGATTGATTAGATTGTATGGACTTACGCCTTGGATCCATTTGCACATTGGATGAAAGATAATGCATAATATGGTGTCTGTTTATTCGTTTGATCGAATAACGGATTGATTAGACCTACACAGTCAGCCTTGCTTATGTCATGTGGACCGATTGCCCCGATCCGAATAGGCGTCGACTTCCCGTATCCCCGCCACGCCCGTTTCCATATCACGAGGAAAGGACATGTGTATATGAGTGATGCGTACGAGAAGCCATTGTCTAAATCAACGGACACTATTATTTTCCTTTCGAAACAAGGTGCTCAGGATTTATAAGCGTTGTTTCTATCATATTTAACACTATTTTTTTCCCATACTCATCATTATTGCATTTTACGGTATTGATTGTCATCTCGTGGACGGTGGTGGCACCTGATTGGCCTAACACTCTGTGTAGCGATTGCGATGCACCTAACGTTGTTAGGAAAAACGGTTTCACTACCAGACAATCGGCGAGGACGAACACAAGGAAAGAGTGATCAGACTGAGGTCATCCACGTCGGATTCTGAGCTTTGTGATGAACGACACCGATACTTAATTCGAAAACGAGATGATCACACTTGCATACCCCGTATAGTGGAGCGAGCCCCTTCTGTCCGAAAAAACATTGAGTAGCCCGCATGAAAGTTCAAAGATACTTTTCGAATTAAACAAGTGTTTGAAAGCAGCGCACGTTATTTATTTTTCACGCGACTATGACAATTTCTCACTAAACTCGAACCACATGGAGGATTTCAATTTCTTCTGTGTCCTCACACTCAATTTCCCAAAAATCCTTGACACACTTCATTTTATTGTTCTTTCAGGGGCTGTTTCGCATATTTTTACTTATCCGTTCAGTCGACAGCACATGGTGTGGGGTTAGAACATCACATGGCGTTCCCTTTGTCCCACCACCGCCATCGAATCAATATAGGAGTGAAAGGAGCATGATGATAAATAGCAGGAAGAGGCGAAGTCACTTGACTGATAGCACAACCCCTCATTTGGAAACAGATTAGGCTAATGACATGATATACGATTACTCTCTGCAAATGGTCCAAAACGGAGAGAGAGAATTGAGAGGGAAGCAAGAGAGTTATATGACAAAGAAGAGAATACAAGGCAAGAGTAAAATGAGAACAACATTGGCAATAAAAACTTGAAGAAAAGAGACAATATGAAGAAGAACAAGATTGACGACTTTTAAGGAAGATTCCAAAAGAAGTATAAGGTGAGAATAACATTGAAGTGAAACAAAAATTCATTGGAAGATCGATGTACGTAGTAAAGAGGAATGAGTACAGTGAAACTGAGAAGGAAAAGAAAAAAAGTTTTTTTTAAGAACTATCACTAAACTAAAGAGGTACGGAGAAATCGAAGAAGAAGATGAGGAACTGATCGAGCTTCGAAGGAGAGTGGTTGGATTGAGACTCATCTTGGAGAAGAGGAAACGACCAATAGTTGAAGCACCGGTGAAAAACACCCCCCCTATGATGACTTTGACCAAGGAACAACAGACCGAATTATCCAAGGAAGCACATACAAGAATTGAAGAGATTACGAATACAGAACCGAGCAAGGATGTTGAGTAATTAATAAGGAAGAACATTCTCGCATCACTCGAGCTGACTGGGAAGCTCGGGTTATCACTCAAGCACGTGATCGTCGACAATGGACCAGATGCAAGTGAGAAATTTGAACGTGATATTCGAGATTTGTTTGAAACACTCACAATAAACGAGCTAAAGAAGCAATACAAGACAAATAAGATTAGCTATGACAATCGAGACTTGGCGATAAAGCATTTGGTGATGCGTCGGATCATCAAAGCATATGATTGATTTATATCCCCTTGCCAAATAATTCGAGAGGCTCCGAGCGTGTTGCCAAAAGGAACGCGACTCTAAAATGCGACACCGGATATTGAGGCTTCATCCTTTGAGAAGTCCGAGGATGAAGATGTATGAAGGGTGAGTACGAAAGGTCTATGGTGTGAAGCCGCAAAAGTAGTCGAACCAAGACGTGGCAATAAAGGTAAGAGTAAGATATTAAACCACCGACTACAAAATTTGATGATTGTTGTGATATTATATGGTGAACTTGGATGCAAGAATAAGTTTCGTTCCTACCGGATCGATAGGAACGAAAGAGGGTGTTTGAAGCTTCGTGAGT